ACTAACTCCTGAAATCTTTGCATTCTCATTGCATTTTGAATTCCCATCAGCATACAGTCAGGCACTACATAACGATGTTTCAGTCAACTAAGGATCACGTATACAATGGTGGTTCCATAGATTATAATACTGTATTTTTACTTTCCTGTGTTTACATATGCTTAGATACACACATATAATTGTTTTACAATTGCCTGCATTATTCAGTGCAGTAACATGCTGTACAGGTTTGTACCTTAAGAGCATTAAGCTATACCATATAGCCCAGTTTTGTAGTAGACTATACTGTGTAGAATTGTGTAAGTATACTCTATGATGTTTGCATAATGACAAAGATGGCTTATATGTCTCAGAATGTATCTGAATTGTTAAGTGACATGTGACTGTATTTTTCTATCTACCTATCTATCCTACTATCCATCTACCAGTTGGTCAATCAAAACTGCCCAGGTTTTCCTACTTGTATATGAAGTATATTTCATTTACAATAAAGTACAAATTTTCTCATGTGATCACATTCCCTCTGACTAAACCATAATGTTCTCTAATAGTTTCATATAGATCTCTGCACTAGGGAATAGTTTAAATTTATCCAGCTTAAGCCAATAATAGATTTAGTGGTAAGACTAGTTCTGAAATTTATACCATCCCTTCCCACCACTACTACTATCAACCATTTCTGGCACTCCCTTTAAACAGGCAATTCCTCTTTCACCACCTACAGTTCATTTCCACATAGTAAAACCCTCAGTAAACATATACCACAGGTCTCTCTTCTTTTTTATGCACTTAATTACAAGAATCATAAATTAGCAGATATTATTGCATGAAGGTTAAAAATTGCATTAGATGTAATGAGGCCAAGCAAAAGTACAGCTACAGTCTCTTTCACTAACTTCTATATTAGTTGATGCTCCTCTCTCCTTGGCTGGTTGTCATTGAAAATTAGCTGAACATATTACATTATACAACCAACAACCAGCTGATTTTCCTTTTAAGAAAGATGCACTCCTTCCAGTTGGGAATCACTGTTATTTTTCTTTAATTCCTTTAGTTATGTCTGTTTATTTTCTAATCTTCCTATGATTTCTGGATAATCTGTATAGCAAGAAACCTTCCAAGCCCTGACTTAATAAATGCTACCTCTGTTCTTGAAAGTGTTCTTATAACTAGACAAGATTGCTGATGGAATTCTTCCTGTTTTCTGCCTACCTTCAGTGTGACACACTTTGAACTGATGTATTTCCTTTGGTGATATGGAGTAGAATCTATTTTTAATTCAAGAGAATAGAGAACATTAGCTGGAATTCCACATTTTAGGGTATTTTTTGGTGTATGACATTAAGGTCTAATAGACTTAGTAACATTTTGAGTTCATTGTAGTCATTCATAACCCTCTTTCTGTGATTAGATTTTTGTTTAGCAACACTATATCCATATAGAGTTTATAAAGAAGATATATTTACCTTATTTCCTTTAAACTGCAACTAATCTACCCAGATCTAATACCTTTTGAAGGTTACCTGTATTAACTTTGCCCTAATAAAAAAATCTCAAAATTTTCAGTGGTTTATATTGCACTTAACATTGAGTTTTTCATCAATGTCTAATCATTTCTCACTCATACTGTAAAGTCACTACCTGTCACTTGGCTCTTGTGGCTCTGCTTTAGTTCCACTCTGGAGCTAAAGAAACAGCTTCTGTTGCAAACGTGCCATTCTCATGGGAAAGAAAAATGATTCTTAAAATTTCTACTTATAAATGGCATCATTTATGTATGGTCATATCCCACTGGACAAATCCAATCACGTGGCTAAAATCAATGTTAATTCGTCCATGAAATATATTTCTCCTGTAGGGAATAGAGATGTGGAAAGTTGCAGGGCAATGAGAGAGGACACAGTATTCTTTTTTGGAGAAGTGAGCAGTGAATTCTTCGGAATAATAGTAAGTTTACAGCAATAATCTATATTGTTTTTAATTCGTCTGAGGTCCACAGATATTCTATCTGTTAGACAACTGACTATCTAAATATTTCTTTCAGAACTCACCTTGTATCCTACCTAGTATTATAAGCATAGGCACAACTGATTGGTACTACTGGAAAATTCTTAACTGCTAAATGTCTTCACCTATTGGCAAAATCTTAATAATGCTTTTTAAAATTAGTTCTCCAATACCAGTATAATTAACTCAGTTGATGAATCTTGCTTGCCTCATCTATAAGTCTCTACATATTGTATATTCCCATTTCCTGTAGCCATAAATTTCAAGAAAATTGGAACTAATAAAAATCCTAGTACCGATAATAGAGTTCCAAGAAATCTGATCATTGTTTATCACCTGTAGTACCAGCTGATCACTGGAAATATGAGAAATAGCACACATGAGATATTTTAATCTTGAATCTATCTAGTTTTGGGGTAGGTAGACATGATCTAACCTTTTATCTGATTTTAGCTTTATTTCCTAAACTTATGTATTTCCTAGAAGTAATTCATTTGTTCTACTAATTGTCTTTTTAAAATTAAAATATATCTTTCAGCTGATCTCTGTATTTATGGTGATGGTACTATAATTTTTAATTGTAAATATTATGATAAAGCTGGAGTTAATTTTAACATTTTAGAGTCTCTGTATTATGACAGCATGATACATCAGTTCTGAAAAAAATAAAAATCCCTATTTTGCTCAGAACATTGTGGACCATTTCCATAGTAAGATAACGTGGTGATTTTGATGGGTTTGTATTACTGACAGTATTGTTCACTTAGTGTCCCAGTATTGTTCTGATCTTACCTGGCTATGTTAAGTAGCTTTTGATGCTCCATGGTCTATATTCTAGCATCAACATAATTTTATCTTTACTTTTATTTGGTGTGTCTCTTTCTCCTTTCTCTTAGATCTATCTAGTAGACCTATTCTTAGTACCAAAACTGGGCATGCAGCCATACTTCCTTTCTTTCTGCTTATTATCTCATAAGTACATCTTCCTAATATCCTTCTCCTTTCAGCATAGTGGAGGTCATTAGCGCTGTAATGTCAATTAGCTATTGACTGCCAAAAATATGTGTTACTTTCACAAATCATGCACACTGATACTTCACTGAGAATGATAATTTAATCCAAGATGCAGCCCCTGTTGTTACAGGCACCACATGTCCTATTTGCCCAGTTCAGTCCTAATTTGTATTTATTGTTTCTTGGTTACTATTAATAGCACTCCCTTTCACACTCACAAGTATCCCAGTTTGGAAAATAAATTATATGGTTACTCTATTTATTGTAGATATAGTATCTAATTCAAAGTTAGACTTAACCTTGACTTCCTTTTTTGTACATTTCTTCTCAGAACTTCCCTTTCAAAATAAATCCATACATTTCCCAGGCATGCTCTTTCATTAAATGTGGCATCCTGATTTCCCCTCACTACCAAACACAAACTGTGTCACCGTAAAACACATTGAATAAAATCTGAAGAAGCACAGAGAATAGAACCTGAAAAATGTTCATTGTTTGTCTACATTTTTCCATACTAGCACAGAAGTATTATGTAGTTGCTTTATCCATCTGTAAGAGGTAATCCAGTTGAATTTATTATTGCTCTTTTTATGTTTTACAGTTTTCAAAGGTTGTTGTAGCTACCTGGGTCACCCCAGTTCACTGTCTGGGATCGTTCCGGAGTACACTGTTACTAAACAGGCTGACAGCTTATAACTAATTAGCTGCCTCATTCCAGCCCCATATGTAGGGGGCTAGGCCATCTTTCATTGTTGTAATTTTTCCTTTAGCATATCTCTCATTTTCCTTTCACATATATATTTCTTACTCTCTAAAACTTCCAATATCTTCATAAATAGGTCCCGTTTACCTTTAATTAATAATGAGTTCTACGTTATCAGGGCTAATACACACATGCACCTTTACATACATACTCTTAAGAGAGAGAAATTCTCATAGTCATTGTACCTGCTGAGGAAAAAACAAACAGATTAAGAAAACACCCTCCTCCAATTTGTTAAGCATTGTGTAACAATCCTGGGTGCAAATCCTGACCAGTTCTCAAATTCTACTTTGTATTCACCTTATGAAGAAAATCATTTGCATTCATTATGCAAATCAGAAAATGAGTCAAAGTGGAACATAGATATAAGAAAATATCTAACAGAAAGAGCCAAAGTGGCAAAGTAGAGGAAGGGGAAGAGGGTGTAGTAGTGACTTGGGCTGGGATACCATAGTAGAGTATTTCTGGTGGAAGAAGGCTGAAAAATGGAAGGCTTAAGAAAACCTTTGGTGTGACACATTGTAAGAGAAGAGGAAATCAAGTAAAAATGTTTTTGGATGTTGTGCATTAAATCTTTACGATATCCTATGAGCCTGAAGTAAAAAAAATAGGAATTTCTTTCATTTACTTAAGCATTGATTTATTAATTTTCTCAACTTTTAATATATTATTTAAATGTGCTTCCATCCTACCTTTGAATCACATAATTATTACATCAGTAATATTATTTGACTTTGTGTTAATTTGACTTCCAAAAGCCAAGGTATTTTAGGTCCAGATTTCTTGGCAAATTTAGGGGGGGAGCCTTATTCTAAGGATATAGAAAGTCTGTATGTACTTAGGACCACTATTTTAAAATTTATTAATTAATATCTTCATGATATCACTCATAAACTGGGTCTCTAAGTTCCACTGCTCTAATTAGCACTGATTTAAAACACAAGCTTCAGCCAAGTTGGGTTCACATAGTGAAGTACACAAGATACCTCAGAAAAATTTCTGGAAGGGCAAATGAATTTGTAGAGGTTATTTCAACCACGATTCTCTTTCTGAAGCATAATTCCATTCAACAATAATGATAAAAGGTAAACAAATTAGAAAAAGTCAATATAAAGTGAACTTCCTGGACCCCAAACCCAAAGCCAAAAATGTAGTGCCTTCTAGACTTCTTCACAAGTGTCTAAACAAAATTCTCAAACTTCACAGATGTACTTACTGTTCGGGGATTTCGTACGTTCTTCACACACTGCAACACTGATATCAAGTTGAATCTCTGAGATTTTTGATCTTGAGCATAGGCTGAACATGAAGGACAGAAGGTTAGTTTGTGGCCTGGGTGATTCCAGCAAAAATCTGTCAGTGAACGTATTAGGAACCAAGAAGAGTGTCTCAAAGACATAATGCATCATCAGGGTGCCAAAGGTGACTTCTTAAAAGATAATGGAGAAATAAGCCAAACTTAATGCAATTTTTTAGCCAAGTGTTTATTTTTGATGCATAGATTTTTAAATTTGTGGTAATTGACTTATTGAGAATGATTCAGTTACTTTTTTAAATCTGCCAATTGTTACACATTTTATTAAGTAATAACATATGATCAAACCCATTTTTGGATGAATTTCGATGGAAGAAATTGGCTTAAAAAGCTCTATATACCATTCATGGGGGTAACCTAGAACAACTAGTGAGGCTCCTGCTCCGCTTGAGTGACCCACTCAACCCCACAGCCACCAACACTGTCTCCCATGGCCCCAGCCATGTACAATAGCTCAAGGACCTGGGTAATATAATGGACAGTCAAGGTGTCCAATGAAATGATTTAGTTGCACACATATCCTAAACTTAATACACAGTTCACTGTTCATGATATTCAAAATTAAAACATGATGTTGAGTATGCTCAAACCCGTGATGCATGCCAGATGTTCCTCAGTAGAACGTGCTACCAAACTAATGAGCTGTCAGAATTCGTATTTTCACTAGATCTATAATATTACTTTCATTTTAGACATTTTAATTGTCATTATATTAATGTTAAAAATTTAATGGTGCATGAGACTGATAAAATTTATTTTATATTTAATTTCTAATTGGCAAATATTAATTGTGTATCTATGTGGTGTACAATGTGAGGTTTTGATATATGCTTACAGTGTAGAAAGATTAAATTAAGCTAATTAACACATCCCTTGTCTCATTTACCTTTTTGTGGTGACGTTTAAAATCTACTCTTTTAGCAATTTTGAAATACACATTATTAACTGTGGTTACTATGCTGTACAATAGATCGCTAAAAATTATTCCTCCTCTCTAATTGAAACTTGTTAGCCTTTGATACACATCATCTCCATTCCTTCTCTTCCTCAGCCTCTGGTAGCCACTATTTTACTCTCTGATTCTATGAGTTTGATCTTGTAAGATTCCACATACAAGTGAGATCATGCAGTATTTGTCTTTCTCTGACAGTCTTGTTTTACTTAGCATAATGTCCAGGCTCATCTGTGCTATTGCAAATGACAGACTTTTCTTCCCTCTTTTTTTTTTTTTTTTTTTTTTTTTTTTTTGAGACAGAGCCTTGCTCTGTTGACCAGGCTGGAGTGCAGTGGTGTGATCTCGGCTCACTGCAACCTCTCTGCCATTCGGGTTCCAGTGATTCTCCTGCCTCAGCCTCCTGGTTAGCTGGGATTGTAATCCCAGTGCATGCCACCACGCCAGGCTAATTTTTGTATTTTTAGTAGAGACGGGGTTTTGCCATGTTGGCCAGGCTGGTCTCTAACTCCTGACCTCAGGTGATGTGCGCGCCTCGGCCTCCCAACGTGCTGGGATTACAGACGTGTGTCACCGCACCCGGTCTCCTTCTTAAAGCTGTATAGTATTCCATTGTGTAGTAAGCCACATTTTATTTATTCATTCATTGATGTACACTTGGGCTGATTCCACATTGTGGCTACTGTGAATAATGCTGAAATAAACATGGAAGTGCTTATATCTCTTTGAAATATTGATTTCAATTTCTATGGATATATACACAAAAGTGATATTACTAGATCATATGATAATTCCATTTTTAGTTTTTTCAGAAACTTCTATACTGTTTTCCATAATGCCCATGTTAATACTAATACTAAATACTAAATAATAAAATACATTCCCACCAAAAATGTGCCAGAATTTCTTTGTCTCTACATCCTCACCAACACTTGTTTTCTTTCATGTTTTTGGCAGTAGCCATTCTAACAGGTGAGAGGTGATGTCTTGCTGTGATTTTGATTTGCATTTCCTTGATGATTAGAGATGCTGAACATTTTTTGATATACCTGGTGGCCTTTAGTTTGTTTTCTTTTGAGGAAGGTTTGTTTAGGTATTTTACCCATTTTTAATCAATTACTATTATTTGCTATTGAGTTGTTTGTGTTACTTATACATTTGGAATATTGGTCCCTTATCAAATGTATGGGCTGCACATATTTTCTCCAGCTCAATGGGTTGTCTTTTCACTTATTTATTTATTTATTTATGTTTTGATTCAGGCTAATGAATTTTTTTCTTCAACTTTTATTTTAAGTTCAGGGGTACACGTGCAGGATGTTCAGGTTTGTTACATAAGTAAACGTGTGCCATGGTGGTTTGCTGCACAGATCATCCCATCACCTAGGTATTAAGTCCAGCATTTATTAACTATTCCTCCTGCTGCTCTCCCTCCCCATGCCCTCCACCTCTGGAAGGCTCCAGTTGTGTTGTTCCCCACCATGTGTCCATGTGTTTTCATCATTCAGCTCCCACTGATAGGTGGGAACATGGGATGTTTGGTTTTCCGTTCCTTCGTTGGTTTGCTGAGAATAATGGCTTCCAACTCCATCCATGTTCCTGTGAAGGACATGATCTTGTTATTTTTTATGACTGCATAGTATTCCATCGTGTATATGTACCACATGTTACTTATCCAATCTATTGTTGATGGGCATTTAGGTTGTTTTCATGTTTTTGCTATTGTGATTAGTGCTACAATGAACATTCGTGTGTGGTTGTTTTTTTTTTTTTTTTTTTTTTTTTTAAAGACAGTCTTGCTCTGTTGCCCATGCTGAAGTACAGTTGTGCCATCTTGGCTCACCACAACCTCCACCTCTCAGGTTCAAGCAATTCTCCTGCCTGAGCCCCTCAAGTATCTGGGATTACAGGCACCTGCCATCACACCCAGATAATTTTTAGTAGAGACAGGGTTTCACCATGTTGGTCAGGCTGGTCTTGAACTCCTGATCTCAAGTGATCCACTTGCCTCGGCCTTCCAAAGTGCTGGAATTACAGGTCACGTACATGTATCTTTATAATTGAATGATTTATATTCCTTTGGTTATACCCTTAGTAATGAGATTGCTGGGTCAAATGGCATTTTGGTATCTAGGTGTTTGAGGCATTGCCAGACTGTCTTCCAGAACGATGAACTAATTTACATGGCCGCCAACAGTGTAAAAGTATTCCTTTTTCTCCACCACCTTACCAGCATCTGTAAGCCATTAATAATTGCCATTCTGAATGACATGAGATGGTATCTTACTGTGGATTTGATTTGCCTTTCTCTAGTGATCAGTGGTTTTGAGCTTTTTTTCATATGTTCATTGGCCATATATATATGTTCTTTTGATAAATGTCTATTCATGTCTTTTGCCCATTTTTAATGAGGTTGTTTGTTTTGAAATTTGTTTATGTTCCTTGTAGACTCTGGATAATAGACCTTTTTTTAGATGGATGGATTGCAAAAATTTTCTCCCGTTCTGTAGGTTGTCTGTTCACTCTGGTGATGGTTTCTTTAGCCATGCAGAAGCTCTTTAACTTAATTAAATCCCGTTTGTCAATTTTTGCTTTTGTTGCAATTACCTTTGGCATTTTCATGAAATCTTTGCCTGTACCTATGTCCTGAATGGTATTGCCTAGATTTTTTTCTATAGTTTTCATAGTTTTGAGTTTCACTTTTTTTTTTGAGACAGAGTTTTGCGCTTGTCACCCGGGCTGGAGTACAATGGCGTGATCTTAGCTCACTGCAACCTCCACCTCCCAGGTTCAAGTGATTATCCTGCCTCAGCCTCCTGAGTAGCTGGGATTACAGGCATGTGCCACCATGCCCAACTAATTTTGTATTTTTAGTAGAGACGGGGTTTCTGCATGTTGGTGAGGCTGGTCTCCAGCTCCCAACCTTAGGTGACCCACCTGCCTCGGCCTCCCAAAGTGCTGGGATTACAGGTGTGAGCCACAGCACCTGGCAGAGTTTTACATTTAAGTCTTTAATCTATTTTGAGTTAATTTTTGTATAAGGTATAAGGAAGGGATCCAGTTTCAATTTTCTGCATATGACTAGCCAGTTCTCCCAGCATTGCTTATTAGATAGGGAATTCATTCCCCATTGCTTCTTTTCATCAGGTTTGTCAAAGATCATATGGTTGTAGGTGCAGGCTTATTTCTGAGTTCTCTGTTCAGTTCCATTGGTCTATGTGTTCGTTCTTGTACCAACACCATGCTTTCTTTTCTATGGTAGCCTTGTAGTATAGTTTGAAGTTGGGTAGTGTGATGCCTCCAGCTTTGTTCTTCTTGCTTAGGATTGTCTTGGCTATTCAGGCTCTTTTATAGTTCCATATGAATTTTAAAATAGTTTTTTTCTAATTCTGGTCTTTTCACTCTTTTAATTGTTTATCTTATTGTGTGCAAAAGGATGTCAGTTTGATCCAGAAAGATTCCTGTTAGGTTAAATGTATTTGTCTATTTTTGCTTTTGTTGCTTGTGTTTTGGAGTCGTAGCCAGAAATCATTGCCTAGATCAATGGGATTGCATCAAACTCTAATCCGTGAAAATAAAAGGCAGAAAAACACATGTTCATCTCAATAGATGCAGAAAAAGCATGTGACAAAATGTGACATTCTCTTATGGTAAAAATTCTCAGCAAATTAGAAGTAGAAGGACCATGCCTCAATACACGAAAGGTCAGGTAATGACAAACCCAGAGCTAACACCATACTCAATGGCAAAACATTGAAAGCATCTCCTCTAAGATGAGAAACCATACAAGCAAAATGAGGATGCCCACTCAAGCCACTTCTATTCACGATAGTACTGGATGTTCTAGCCAGAGCAATTAGGCAATAAATAAATAAATACAAAGCATTAGAATAGGAAAGTATAAAGTGAAAGTGTCTGTTGGCTGATGACATGTTTTTACGTATAGGAAATCCTAAAGATTCTAAAAATATATTGCTAGAACTAGTAGACAAATTCGATGAAGTTTCAAGACACAATATCAATGTACACAGAAGATATATATATATATATATGATGAATAAAATCATGTTTTTTCAGTAACATGAATGAAATTGGAGGCCACCATGTTAAGTGAAATAAATCAGGCACAGAAAGAAAAATATCACATGTCCTTATATGAAGGAGCAAAAAAGTTGATCCTATGGAGGTGGAGAGTAGACTGATAGTTACAAGAGGCTGGCAAGAGGAGGGGAATGAGGAAAGGCACAAACATGCATTTTGATAGAAGAAAAAAATTGTAGTGCTGTATAGCACAGGAGGGTGACTATTGTTAGTAACAATATATTGTAATCAACATAGCTGAAATAGAAGATTTAAAATGTTCTCAACACAGAAAAATGATAAATGTGATGAATTTCTTAAATATCCTGCTTTTATTACACATTTTAAACATGTATCAAAATATTACATTTACCGTATAAATATGTACAATTATTATTTATCCAATATGTAAAATTAGTAGGTATTGTGATTTATTATTTTAAAACTAAAAGTATGAAATACAATGTCATAATCTGCAGCTTCTTTTTAGCTATGTTTTGGAAAATTTATTTATATGGATAGACAAATACCTATAAATATATTGTATATGCATATATTTACATATAAATACATAGTTGTATATACACACTTGTATACATACTTATGGTTTGGTATACATGAATAATGTGCACTTAATTTTTTTTTTTTTTTTTTTTTTTTT